TATAGACAGTTGTTAGCTGCCATGTGGGTGCTGGGATTCAAACCTGGGTCTAACAGCTGAGCCATCTCTCCAGCCCCCAATATTGTTTTCTTTTTTGAAAATTATTCTTTGGGGCTGGAGAGATGGCTCAGTGGTTAAGAGCATTGGGCTCTTGCAGAGGACCTAGATTCAATTCCCAGCACCCACATGGCGGCTATGAACCGTCCTTAACTCCAGTTCCAGGGGAATCCAAAGCCCTCTTCTGACCTCTGCAGCATTGCACGACATGGGTACACTCACATACATGCAAGCAATACACTCATACACATAAAATAAAAATAATAAATAAAATAATTCTTTGAAGCCAGGCGTGGTGGTGCATGCCTTTAATCCCAGCACTTGAGAGGCAGAGGCAGGTGGAGCTCTGTCAAGGCCAGTCTGGTCTTCATAATGCATTCCAGGCCAGCTGGGGCTATAGGGAGACCCTGTCTCAAAAAGACCAAACGAAAATTATTTTTGAACATTTCATACATGTCTACAGTGTAATCATATCCATTCCCCACTCTTTCCCTCTAACTCCCTCTGATCCCCCCAACACATCTCCCTCCTGACTTCATATTCCCCCCACCTCTTTAAAATTTTTTATTTATATTTTATGTGTATGAGTGTTTTGCCTACATGTATGTATCATATGTTTGCAATGCCCATGGATACCAGAAGAGGGCTTGGATCCTCTGGAACTAGAGTTAAAAACAGTAGTTAGCTGCAATGTGGGTGCTGGAAACCAAACCTGGGTCTTCTTGCAAGAGCAGCCAGTGCTCTTAACTGCTGAACCATCTTTCCAGCTCCCAAGCCAGCATTTGCATCACTTCTTTTTTTGTTTGTTTGTTTGTTTGTTTGCTTGCTTGTTTGCTTGCTTGCTTTGTTGTGTCTCACTGTGTAGACCAGGCTGGCCTTGAACTCACAAATACCTGCCTGCCTCTGTCTCTTGGGTACTGAGATTAAAGGTGGGTGCCACTGCCCCAACTCTCTCTTTTTAAAAACCATCTGAGTCCAATTAGTGCTGCCTATATTTTCATGTGTGGGGTCATCCATTGAGACATAGACAGCCTATCTGTAGCCACTCCTCAAAGAAAAGTGACTCCCCCTTCTCTAGCAACCATCTGCCACCAGTAGCTCTGCAGTTAGGGCTGAGGCTTTGGGAGTCCCCTCCATGTTGGAATTTTGTTTTTTTATGTGTATGTGTGTATTATCTGTATGTATAAGTGTATCTGTGTCATGCAATGCCCACTGAGATCAGAAGAGGGTGTTGGATCCCCTGGAATTGGAGTTAC